CGCCAGCCTCGTCCTGGCCGTTGGATTGAAAAGATTTGATGGTTCTTGGCAAATCTCGTCCTGATGGTTCTTGGCAAATCTCGTCTGTTGGTTGCATTTGAAGAGTAGGGATCAACTTATGACGTTGTCCTCTGAATTTTCAAAAGAAGTCTTTAGTAACACCGGAGCTAACAGCATCTCCAACCCAAAAATCTAAAATGATGAAGTTTTTTTTTTTTGATGGAAAAACAAGGGATTTACCCTGTTCATTAAAATACTTAAAGTTCTTACAAAAGAGGGATACGAACTGTATCCTTGAAATTGATAGATAGAAAAGTTAAATTCTTATAGCTATTGATGTATAACCTTCTTCTACCAAACATCCATGAAGATGAAGAGAGGGCCTTACCGTCATTCACCGTTGACATGGATATATGGAAGAACCAAAGCCGGCCATACATTTGGTCTAAAGAATTTAAGATTTCTATAAATCAATTAAAACCCAAAATCAAGAAACTGATTACAAAAGAGATATATATACATAGAAAGCCAAAAGTTACTGTAGAATTTAGACACTGTGCCTCGATATTGGTTTGTCTTCTAACGCTCTTGCTAACTTCACAGCTTCCTTTCTTCTATCATTTCCTGTCCATTCATATAAAGCATGTATCGAAGAGTTAATGATAAGTTGAACAGAGAATGCAACTTGTTCAAACACAAACTTATTCCTTGACATCCATAAAGACCAGCAAACAGCAGAAAAGATACTACGCCATAAGATACCATCCTTTGTATTCAGAGACTCAACTGATAGCATAAGATCATCAAGGGAATTAGGCCAAATGAATGGAAGATAGTAGGACCTGAAATGATTCCAGACACTAGTAGCCATATTACACGAAAAGAAGATGTGATCTCTAGATTCATTGTGAGCTCCACAGAAAATACATAGAAGTTCACCTTGCCAACCTTTTTTCGATAGAATATCTTTGGTATGAAGCCGATTCATAGTTAATAACCAAATAAAGAATTGAATCTTGCTTGGTAAAATAGAATTCCAAACCAATTTGTATGGAGCAAATTTGATCCCTCTGGCAATTAAAAAGTCATATAATGATTTGACAGAGAATAAACCATTTGTTGATAGAGACCATTTGGGGATGTCAAACTGATTTACAATTGTATACATCCCAATCCGATTCATGAAGTCTGATTTGATAGAATGGGATTCAGGTAGGATAGAACGTTTCATAAGAGGATGCCAATGACAGATGTTGTTGTGAAAGTTTCCTTGACTACAAATAGAAACATTGGTAGACAAGGCTAAAAGATATAAGGATGGATACAAACTTGATAAAGAATTATTACCAATCCATTTGTCCTCCCAAAATCTGATATTGTCCCCAGATCCAAGAGACCATGAAAGATGATGTAGAAAGACATCTTTACTTGATATTATGTCATTCCAAACCATAGAGTTGTATGTCTTAGGAGTAGATGATTGCAGGAGAGATCCTCTTCGGACATATAAGTGATTAAGGAAGGCTCCAATATATGATTCTTTGTCAAAGCATTTCCATAACCACTTAGATAGAAGGCAAGTATTGAAAATTTTGAGATCCTTCACTCCCAGACCACCTTCTGATTTACTCATGCATATCCTATTCCAATTGACAAGATATTTGAAAGGTTTTGAATCAGTTTTTCCAGACCAGAGGAAATTCTTTCTGATTTTGTCCACCTCTTTGATCAACCATCCAGGTAGTTTATAAAAAGGCATAAAGTACAGAGGAATCGAAGTAAGAACTGAATTTAACAAAACCTTTCTACCTCCAAAAGATAAACAAGTACTCTTCCATGAAGCAAGTTTACGATGAAAATTGTCCAACAAAGGTTGTCATTCTGATTTTGATAGCTTTCCACCTTTCAAGGGAAGTCCAAGGTATTTGATGGGAAGTTTATCAAATTTGCAATTAAGAGCTGATGATAAAAAGAGACCTATGTCTTGTATTCTACCAAAATAAATGAGGGATGACTTGGAATAATTAATACCCAGACCAGAAATTTCTTCAAAAATGTATAAAATAGCCTTTAAGTTGCAGATGTCTTTGAAAGTGCTTTTGACGAAAAGTAGGGTATCGTCAGCAAATTGTAGGCTCCTAATATGATTAAGAGGATCCTTGATGTGAAGGTTAGATAGAAGACCTTCTTCAACATTGGATTTAATCATTTTACTCAAAACATCCACCGATATGTTAAAAAGCAAAGGGGATAGAGGGTCCCCTTGTTTGAGGCCTCTTTTACATGAAAAAGTTTTAGAAGGAGCTCCGTTAACCAGCACTGCACATTTGGAGGTAGAAACAATGTAATAAATCCAAGAGCACCATTTATCTCCAAAACCTCTAGCCTTAAGCAAATTGATAAGAAAGCTCCAACTTATGGAATCGAAGGCCTTAGCAAAATCAATTTTAACCATAGCCACTTCTTTTTTCCTCTTAGAACAAAAGTGAATCATCTCGTTGGCAATTAAGATGGAGTCAAGAGAAGATCTACCCTCTTGAAAAATGATGAAGTTTTTACATTAAGTTTATGTATTTTTACATCAAATTATTATTCTATCTCCAACTCATTGTATCAAATTTTACACCAAAAAGATTATTTCTTTTATTATTCTTATCTTTCAACATCTTTATCAATTTAAAATATTTAAGAAATTATATAATTATATAATACATTACATATAATTAATTATTATAATATATTTTATAAATAAAATAAAAATATAAAAATTAAATGCTAAATCAAATTAAAATGTTATTTTCATGAATTCAACTAATTGGTGTTAATTTTTATGTCATAATAGTTAATATAAAATAATATATATTATTAATACAAATATAAAAAACAAAAGCAAAAAATAAAAAACCCAACTCAATAGCAGCACACTTAGGTGCCCAGTTGGAGAGCGCAACACTGTAGCAGCACACTAAGATAGCGCCCACTTAGGCGCTCGGTTGGAGGCCGCGCAGCGTCAAAATGGGTTTTTGACGCCCCATTGGAGATGCTCTAAGTTGCATATAGACAGCTTTTATTTGGGATTAATTAGATTTGCGTATCCAAGATGTTGAAATTACATTGGTGTCTACAGCCTAAGCATGTACGCATTCTATATGAATAATTCTGAAATTACTACTTGTGACTATATGGATGACCCTTAGTCTGTTTATTTTCTTCCCTCTTAGAATCTCATTGTTACTTAGCAGATACAATCGATTCAAAGTTACTCTTGTAAATACGCAAACTGTAGGTAATTAGGTCCTCTTATTTAAGCAAAGTTTACATTATCAGACTCAACTGTTGTTTTTTTTTAAATTGATCTTTATACTTCAGAAAATGAAACTATAATATGTAGTAAACAAGCACGTCTACAAAATAAATACTAGTTTTGAATTGTTAATTACACCTTTTTTTCATTATCATATCACTTGGAAACAGTTCCTCAAAAATGCTAAACTCTTCATCCACAAGAACAGAAAAATCTGCGCATAGAAATCAAGTAGTTTCCCTTCAAACAGGTTTAACAGGCTTCACTTTTGAAAATAGTTCACCGCAAGCCCTTGAGAAGAACAGTGTCTTCAAAGTATCATATTCGACAAACAACCGAAGGAGGTTCTCTTCAACATATAATTAGAGATCTTTTCAATGACCAAAAATGGTAAAAGTATCTCCAGCCGTGCAATTAAATTGATAGCTTCATCCATTCATCCTAGAGAAGTCTTTTCAAGCTTGCGTTGATATTGTTGAGGGGTTTTTCTTGTCAAAGTTCAGCTTAACTTGCTTGCTTCTCTTGGCAGGAGCTATACAAGAAAAAATTAAAGCTTGTTAAGTTTTAATTGGTTTCAAAATTCAAAAATGAGAAGGTGCTTAATTGGTGAGAAAAATAGAAAGGAGGGTGGAGATCTACCTGTCTTACTTTGCTTATTAGAGGAAGTGACAGTGGACTTCCACTCCTCATAAGCCTTTTTCTCCATTTGCTTTTTCCTCTTGTAGCTCGGAAGCTGCAAGTAGACCGATATATTTAGATCAGAAAATTTTATTTTTATATACTTATTTTTTTACTGAATCTTATCTGTATAGTAAGACATCTTCATGTGACATGATTTGAAGCTTTAGACAATGAGCTGCTGAAAAAAATCCTGCAGTCCGTCTTTATGCGATTTTAAAGCATTACTGATTCGATAACCGTATGGTATGTTCTATTTTACTCCAAAGTCTCTAGTTGGCCCTTGCACAACATATGAAAGATTTCGTCTACTAGAGTTAGATGGTATCTTGTCACAGCGCAAAAGGGATCACATTGAATAGCAAACTTAGATATCAGAAGCCTTTCTAGAATTTGTTGAATAACTGATTCAAAATTTGTTATTAGGTTGTTATTTTGTTAGTGGAGTTGTTGCTAATTAGTTTAGATTTTTATGGTGATTAAGTTGTTTTGTAAGCCTATATAAAGGCACTTTTAGTTGATGAATAATATAGAAAATATTATCTCCTCATCTACTCTCTAATTTCCAACAGAATTACACATAAAATATTTGGATTTAGCATAGGGATCATAGGTTTGAGTCCACTGAACAGTTTAGAAAATTCAAGGCTGGAGAGACTATATCATTTTTGGACACATGAAGCTTTCAATTGCATGAAAAGAGTATTTTACTTGAAATGATGTATCAATATTTATATCATATATGTTATGATATTCATACTTTCACATATAAGTCTTTCAAATTTCATAAATTGGAGGTACTAATAATTACCTCAAGTCCATCTTCGTCGTCTATGGAATCTTCAGACACATCATTCTCTTCATCCCCACGTCTCCTTTTGCCAGGCAACGCATCCAACAGCTCTGAAATCACAAGTTACATATCGAAATAGTTACCTAGTGTTACAGAAGAACGAGATACCAAGAAGTATATAAAACGAATATTCTCAAATGGAAGGCAACCAACAAAGAAGATGAGATGAATGATTCTTTCTGAAAGAAAAATGTACCTCTGTGACCTTTAACAGCCCTTGAATCTTTCTTTTCTTTTGAAATCCCAAAAACATCAAAGCACAAATCATTCATAGAAGTGGAGACCTGTAGCAAGAAAATCAGAATATAAATGTTATAGACTTACAAAAAGATTAGAAAACCAAGAAAGCAAGCCATATCAGATGTAAAGCCTATGTTGAATATCCTTACAGTGGCAAATTCAGACTCAGAAGTGCCACAGAGCTCAATCAACTTTAGCTTGTCTACTTTAAGCTGAGAAATGGGAATAAATGCATTAGTAAAAAGCAAGGTATTCACATTGGGGGGAAAAAGAGAGAAAATGAAAAAGCTCCATAGTTACCTTATGTCTCTTAGCACACAAATAGAATGCAACTGCAGTGAATACAGGTCGATTGAAATCAGTGTTTGCCCTACGAGAAGCTGGCAAGGCAGCTAGAAATCGATCCTTGTATCTGAGGGAAGGAAAAAGCCATCACAAGTTAAATCGAGGAAATAACAATATATTCACCTAGATAAACGACACAATTCTGCCTAGTAATACATAAGGTAACTTGAACTGAGAAAGACCAAAGGGATAAACAAATCTATAGAGCAAAACTAAACTACCCCCAGCCAAAAGGTACGACTAAATGAACACTTCTGACATTATCTAGCACTGAAATATGTACAAGTGATTAGGTTGGCAATTCTTGATAGGCCTCCAAGTTGTTCTTAAGAGTAGCTGAGTAGGCATAACTAAAGCACAAATGACTAACAAGGAATTTTATCAAACAGTTTCATTGCCACAAAATAACAAGAACAAGCTATCCTCTAGCAAAACTAACACAAGAAAGTAAAAAAAGACAATGTAGATCCTTTATAAAAAACATGAAGGTTTATTTTTGTACGTTCTCATTCTGGGAGATCAATTAATCCAAAAATATAGCCCCACGAGTAAATTATCAGCAAAACCAATTAATCCATTGTCATATAACAGGAATTAACTCGTTAAAGATTAAAGAAAGAAGCCAGAACAAAACTAGATAAAGATTGATAAATAAGATAATCATAGAAGTTTATAATGAGAGATCTTACATTGACAATCCCTTCTGCACAAAAGAGACGAGCCTAACGCAGCCAAACTGAATCGCTAGCTCCCTAACATCCAAGCTCGCCCTTTTACAAAGAAAACCCAAATCAAAATCTTAACAATTTCGTCTCGAAACAACAAAATCATCACAAAAATAACGAAAAAGAGTGACCCACTTGACCCCAATTCCATTCTGCATCGCGTTGAACGATCTCACATAAGCCTTTTCGGACATCCCACTCATCCGAATCGCGCTCTGCCGATCTAAAATTACCTGCATTCTAGAAAAACCCAACACAAAAAAAAATCATAAATTAATCATAAAAGAAGTATCTAACATAACCAACATTTATATAATTACCTTGTAGCTGCGATTTCAAGACAGATGATGGCCTTGCAGACCTCCCCCTAACATTCCAAAACAAGAAATATAAAAAAAATGTAAAATTAATGAAAGAAGCATGGGAACTATAAAAAAGATAGAGATTTTGACTTACAACGCCGATGATTGAGGAATCAAAGTGGACGTCGGATAATCGACGGAGCTCCTCAGCCTTGCGAATCAAGGGTTTGTTGGAGCTAAGTCCGAGCTTGGATGCGATGCTGGAGATGTCCATTCGATCTCGGATTGAATGGAAAAAGGGGGGAAAGGTGGGATTTTTGAGAGGAGGTGATTGAGATCTTTTCCCCCCTTTTTTTTTCCTTTAAGAATGGGATTTGGGGATCTTTAGACAGAGCGGGGGAAGAAGCGGGAGTAAAGAGATCGGAGCCAAATTTTTGGCGGGCGCGGGGACTTGAAATTATTTTTCCTTTTCTTGCTGGCTTTTTTCCCGCACGTGGTTAATTTGGTTTGGGCACATGTGGGCTTAATTCTCTAAGGCTGCGTTTGGCAAGGAGATAAATGAGGGGTTAAGGTGGTTTAACCCTTCATTAGTCTGCTAAACACCAAAAAAAGCCCAAAGGCTAACAAACCCGCACGTGATCATTTTATCCCATTTATCAGGCTAACCCGAGGGATTACTAATACTCGTGGGAAGGCGGAACAAGCCTTGTTCCGCCTTCTCACGCGAGGGTAGCCCAAGGAATTAATGAAAAAAGACGGGATCTTGTGATATGAGGCGGCGAAATTCGGCAACAGAATCGGAAGGTAAGATCTTGAGAAATCCCTCTACTGCTTTCCCTCCCAATTTTCCCTCTATTTTTTTCACCAGAGAGATCTTTCACAGCTATATAGCGCTATTTTTGGGGGAACAATCAAGAAGAGAGAAATTTTCAGTCGATTGGGAGCAATTGGTGACGGGAGGCAAAGGATCTGAGGTATGTTATCTAAATAAATTCCTATTTCTTGATTTTCATATTCCTATTTCTTGATTTTCATACTTTATCCTTACCTTTGTGAAAAATTGAATGATTGGGTGCAATTAGAGTACTTTTGTTTCCGTGATGTGGTTTTCAACTTCATTATTGCAAGCAAAGTCCTTTAGATTAGTAGGATGCCTGTCTGCTTGATTTTTATCTGTCAAATACAATGTTTTGTCTTCACTTGAGAATTAATATAGATGATTAATTATGCTTTCCATTTTTGGATTGTGATTAGGATGCCTGTCTTAAGCTTGATTTTTATCTGTCAAATACAATGTTTTGTCTTCACTTGAGAATTAATATAGATGATTAATTGTGCTTTCCATGATTTCTCACCGTTGAACTTTGTTAAACATTTTTAACCCCATTATTTATAACGTCATCCATATTGGACCTATCACTTTCATTATTGCAAACAAAGTCCTGATAAAGCTCTCCCATTACAATCACATGCACTCAATCTTTAGCTAATAAGAAACAAAAAGTTTGAAAAATATAGCATTGACAACTTGAGAGAGAAATACAAAGCTAATTCAGTAGACTTATTCAATTTGGATGTTGATTTGTGAACTATTTAGAGTATAAATTATACCTTCACCACAACTACAAAATTTTGATGCAGGGAGGGATTTTAACATGGAGCATATATCGATATTACTCGTTCAATTTCATTATTGCAAGCAAAGTCCTTTAGATTTACAATTTTATTTATAATCCTATGAAATATCTGTTTGTATATTTGTTCACATAATTCCATCGAGCCTGAACTAAACCAAGCTCAGGATTTCTCTGCATAACAATTTGAATTATGTTAGCATACATTCTTCTGATATAAAAACCTTGCTAGAGCTGGACATTGTTTACCTTATTAATTCTTAATCAGACAAGTTCATACCTATTTAGTTGGTGTCAGATCATACTTACATGTATATGCAATTCTACTTTTAATTCTTAATCATTTATACTTACATGTATATGCAATTCTACTTTTAATTCTTAATCAGACATGTTCATACCTATTTAGTTGGTGTCAGATTATACTTACATGTATATGCAATTCTACTTTTAATTCTTAATCAGACATGTTCATACCTATTTAGTTGGTGTCAGATTATACTTACATGTATATGCAATTCCATAAAAAACATGGAATCGTTTATACTTACATGCATATGCAATTCTACTTTTAATTCTTAATCAGACATGTTCATACCTATTTAGTTGGTGTCAGATTATACTTACATGTATATGCAATTCTACTTTTAATTCTTAATCATTTATACTTACATGTATATGCAATTCTACTTTTAATTCTTAATCAGACAAGTTCATACCTATTTAGTTGGTGTCAGATTATATTTACAAATATATGCAATTCTACTTTTAATTCTTAATCATTTATACTTACATGCATATGCAATTCTACTTTTAATTCTTAATCAGACATGTTCATACCTATTTTGTTAGTGCCAGATTATACTTACATGTATATGCAATTCTACTTTTAATTCTTAGTCATTTATACTTACATGTATATGCAATTCTACTTTTAGTTCTACATTTATACATAAATGATACATGTGTAACTGTTTAGTTAGTGTCAGATTACAAAAATGATACTGTCTTCATAAATTTTTCCACTATTTAGAGGATCTGGTCAAGTTTACTGCAATTGGTTTATTTGAAGAATATTTTCCTGAATGAGTAATATAGTTTGTAAACATGCTCAACATAATAAAGGTAGTTAGGTGTTGAAATATCTGTTTGTATATTTTCTAGAGCTGGACATTATTTACCTTAAAATGTGGAACTGTCTGCTTGAGGAAATCAGGGTTTGGTAGAAAATCAACATCAAATATGGCCACAAATTCATAGTTCTTGACATAATCACTTGATTACAAATTGATAGCAAAGCCTGTAGGTTTTCTTGCGCCTTTTCCAGGATCATCAAATAATTTGGGTGCTGGAATCATTAAGATGGTTAGGTGTTAAGATTAGTAAGATGACTACATGTAGCATACAGACCAAGCTCAGGGACATGGCTTTGGTTATAGTTTGCAATCATATCGTGCAAAATACGTTGGAATCATTAAGTGGAATAACAAACTATGTCTAGAATCATAAGTGCACACAATGCTATGTGTGATTGGTGTTTTTCCACTTACTGAACTTATGGTTATGTATGTCCTTCCTCATATTTATATGTTTTTTTCACTTACTGAACTATGTCTGGAAAATCAATATCAAATATGGCCACATATTCATATGTACGAATTGTTAGTACTCTGTTATTGAGGTGATGGTAGTTTATAGTATTCTGTAACTACAGTTCATAACATAGCATTTGTTATAGTTTGATTTTGTATTTCTTTGTATTTCCAACTCAATAGTTTACATAGCATTGTTCAATTGATTAATTTCTTTTAAAATTCTCATTATGATCTAGAATGGCTAAGAAGAACTTCATATCACAATCTCAACCCGAAGGTGGGCAGTCAAGACCTCGTGCCAGGAACTGGACTATAGAGGAAGATAATTGTTTGATGGAAATATTAAAGGAAATGGTCCTTAAAGGAAAGAACAATGGAGGTCATTTCACTACCGAGCAATGGGAAAATGTAACCGATGAGTATAAAGTTAGGACTGGACAAAAGGACAGAGGAAAACTACAAATGCAAAATCGTTATAAAATTTTGAAAAAACAATATTACCTCAATTACAAACTCCGAAATAAATCAGGTTGGGGTTGGGATGAAGGTAAAAATATGGTGATTGCACCTACTGCAAAAGATTGGGAGGCATTGATAAAGGTATTATTTAAATTTCTAGAATTATTGAATTTGAATATTTTATAATTAAAACTATGATATATTTATTATGAATTTTCTACCGCAGGAGAATGATGAGTATTTAAGAATTAAGAACAAACCTTTTCCTCAGTTTGATGATATGGATTTTCTATGTGGAGGTAACACACCTAAGGGACGCTGGTGGTTTGGGACTACTGATGACTTCAATGAACGTGAAGGAAGCACTAGTTCAGACAATAAATTAGATGATACTGAGGGGCCACACAATAACGAGATAGATTTAAGTGATTCAGAGGATGTACAAGAAGTGGAAGAGACACAAGTTCCTTTTAATGGTACACAAGCATCACTCATCAATCAAATGTGATGAAGCAGGTTCCTCGACCATGTCGAACTAGGCCATTCTCTGGTCATATGCTTGTAGAAGATATATTGGCTAGACATCCTGATCGTTCATATTCTTGTTTTCGAATGAGTTCTGAGGCAATTCTTTTGCTTAAAAATGTTCTAATTGAGAAGAATGCTTTAAGGCCAACTAGATATTTGAGCTGCAATGAACAACTTTGTATATTTCTCTACGGAATTTCACATGCCCTTTCAAATCGAGTATTAGCTGAGATATTTCAACATTCGGGAGAGACTGTTAGCAGGCATTATAATAATGTGCTTAATGCTATTTTATCTTTGAAACAAGATTATATCCAGCTTCCAACGGCTGACGTAGACGTTCATCCTAAGATTCGAGAGAATCCCAATTTCTTCCCATATTTCAAGGTAGAGCTAAATGCATATATTTTTTCATCGGTTTTTTAATGTGTTTGTGTGTATGTTTCTATACATTAGAACCTTATACATTTTTATATTTGCAGAAAGCATTAGGAGCAATTGATGGATCTCATATTCCTGTAATTGTGAAGAAAAAAACACAATAGGTATCGTAATCGAAAGAATTTCATATCTCAAAATGTAATGGCAGCGTGCTCCTTTGATCATACTTTTCTTTATGTGGCTGCTGGATGGGAGGGATCATCATCTGATATGTCAGTACTCCGTGCAACACTGGAAGATGGTAAATTTAATGTTCCTGAAGGTAAAATTTAATATTTTTCCTTCTCTTTTTAAAAAAAATCAATTGGTATTAAAGTCGAATAATTTTAAATATGCAGGTCACTTTTACTTAGTTGACTCAGGATATGCTAATACTTCAAAATTTATCGGCCCATATCGTGGATCACGTTATCATCTTGGAGATTTTGCAAACAGGACCACCAGAGCCTATCGAGATACTAAAGACAAATATAATCATAGACATGCACAACTACGTAATGCAGTGGAAAAAGCATGGGGAATTTTAAAGCAAAGATTCAAAATTTTGAAAGTTCCTGCTCCATTTCCTTATAAAACTCAAGTCAAAATCGTTGTAGCTTGTTGTGTTCTTCATAATTTTATTGCAAGGCATCAGGGAAATGATAAATATTTTAATATGCTCAATGGATTAGAGATGAATGAGGATGAAGATGAGGTGGAGGAGGAAGAAGACCCCCAATACATGGTTGTTGCAGATGAAAGTTTAAGGGGTGAGCAGCTTCGCAACAAGATTGCTTTACAGCTTTGGAATAATTGAAATATGTAGTTGTCGAATATTAAAGTATAAGGAGGTTGAATTATGTCTTTTTACTATCTTTATATGAGCAAAACTTATAATTTTATATGAGCAAAACTTATAATCATTTTTTTTTGCCAGGTTTATTGATAGAGAAGAAGCCATATAATATTTTGTTAGCTCATTATCTCTTTTTAGCAGCTAAAATAATGTGAAATGATAATTTATTTTAATTTACCTTCTGAACAATCATTTATTGAATAATACCAAATTATCATTTTAGCGTTATTTCAAAAAAAAATTATCCCACGTGTCTCAACTGAATTACATATTAGTGCTTCAAATCTTTGAAATTGATCAGAAGATAAACAACGCGAAATAAATATTAATGAGGCAATTAGTTATAAATTTTCAGTAAGGACGAAAGTGGTATTTTTTAAAAAATTAATGAGATTAATCTCATTATCCCTTCTTTATTTGCCAAACACAAAAGTCTTAACCCCTTGTCTTAACTAACGAATCCAAACGGAATTAGAATATTTTTAACCCTTCACAATTGATTAACTAAGTTAACCATTATCCTTAATCCCTCTTCCTTAACCCTTTGCCAAACGGTGCCTAAAAGTTTGACGTCTGACCTAATCCAGTATTGCAAGTTTTTTTTTTTTTGGTTTTACGTTTCATATTAATCTGTACTCATAAATTAAAAAGGATTAATTACAATCTGATTTCCTAAAGTATGATGTAATTCCACTGGTAAACCTAGAGCCTGCGTATTTACACGAGTAACCATTAAATTATAAATTTTAACTGAAGGGTGACCCAGAGCCTAGACGGCAAGCAACTCTCAGAATTATTAGTGTTACTGCAATCACTAACTTTAGAGCTATTCATGCATATACGCCACCTCAGAGCACTGGACTATAATTAATCCTATTAAAAACTCAAGACTTGGTTTTGTCGAGGTGAGGTGGCGGACAAAACTAAAATTACACGGGTAAGAATAACGTGAATACAAACATGAAGTTACTAAAATGTAAGTGACTACTAAAAGTTTGTACACCATAAATCATGTGACCGTAGCGCGAATTTAACAAATAGCAAGAGTTATCACTCTTGAATGTATAAGTAAATAAGTACTTTTACTACGAGGAATTGCAAAATGCAGCTGAGCAATGAGGTGAAGTTTTGAAGTGCCAAAAGATGAGCAAGTATTTCATCCATGAGAAATGCTACGTAGAATCAAGAATTACGAAGCCCGAGCAAAGAACAAGAGGTTAAACGCTTGAAAACTGCACCGCGTCGCCTGAGCGCATAAATAAACGTTGAGAGGTTGTGGCTGCGTAGCTTCAGGAACAGGCATAGGTTTTATTGAAATATACATTATGACAGTATGTAAACATAAACGAAGGACGAGCATGGGAGTTGAAATTATGCAACCATTCAAAATCATAGTTTCGACTTACATGCTCCTCCTTCGCTTATCTGTACATACTCTCATGCTATCATGCTATATATTTTTCGTCGAACTCAATGACCCAAAACAGAGGGTAACATCTCTCTCTCTCTCTTTTTGTGTCAAAAGTATCTACATATCAGTTTTCTTTCCCCCCACCATCAGCACGAGTTAAAAAACCGTATATACCCTTTTATACGGAAGTCAACAAGTTTCCACTCTAGCAGGTATAAAATAAAGAGGGAAAGATCAGCACTGTGCGCTCACAAAAATAAGGACCCCGTAAATTAGAATTCATGTCGCTTTATCATGCATCGTCTTATCTCCACCACTGCACATCTCTTGACTAGCATCACAACCCTTTCGATCATAAGATTTTAAAGGGTAACTGCCATGCACCATAGCATGCCTTGTTGCAGAGGGGAAAACCCTTTGGAAGTACACTTTTCTCTTTCTTCACCTCAAAGCTGTTGGATTAGCGATGAGCGGGTGAATTGCTGCTCTAAAATCCTCATAGAATTTCTGCTCCGAAAATCTCTGAGCTCGCTTTCTTGCAGCTGCAGCAAGTGTGAGCCTCTCTGCCTCTGTCATATTTAAAACCTTTAGGATAGCATCCGCATATTCTTCTTTATTAGAAGCGAGAAATCCCGTTTGGCATCCATCTTCACCTAGAACTATATCCATTCTGGGGCCAGCTGAATTATGGGCTGAAGCAGAAACGAAAATCGTTAAGAAACGTAGATATATTTCTGTCGTGCGAGAATAATTCTTAGTTAAATTATTTTTTTGAAACATATATAATCTCACACACTCACCGATTGGGATGGCACCAGCTGCCATGTACTCTACAACACTTATGCCAAAATGCTCATCAATCATGGAATGAAGGCCTGCAATAGCACCTCCGAGAAGTCGTATCAAGTCCCTGTGAAGAGTAAACTTGCCATAAACAATTTATTTCAAGAATATAAGCACAGTATTTGTATAAATTGCTCAGTGAAAGGAAGAGAAAAACAGAAACATAAAAAGAAAGAAAAGATCAAGCTTGAGTGATTTTTTCTATTTTTCTTAGTACCATTCATATTTTCCCAAGATAAAAATTACCATATTATGCGAAGAGACGATCATGAAATTTGAATTTTTTACTCAAACCAAAGATTATCTTCAAAATCACAATTTCAAGATAACTTGTGAATTTTCATCAAACCGGACACATTGCTTAGAAATCACTAATTTTATTTTTTTTTTCAAAAATCAGGCACCAATTAGAAACCTGTCATCTGACTGTAATATTGAAAATGCACCATTATCGCACGAATGTGTCTTTTTTAGCAAAATTACTCATTTAGGATATAATATTATAATACATACCAATCCGATTAACCATTTCTTTAGTGTTCAAGATTCAAAGTCACCATCAAGCATAAGCCCCTCCCTCATTCACTCCAATTATTATCCATGAAGGCTTTAACAATAGTTCAGGAGGCTTAATTGCACTTTAAGATGCTATCAGCTAAAGGATATAGAACCTAGTCTAGCAAGATAGATATTTTCTCAACTGATTGGCATTGGTGCCGATCCTTCACTTCATATTTTCCCAACTGATTGGCATTGGTGCCGATCCTTTGCTTCCTAGGTTGAGGAAGACGTGCTACTAACAAACAGACTGGAAGATTCCTTGAAGGCTAAAGCCAAATTCAACAATGCTTCCCTCGAGCTAAGCTTCCAATGATTCAACCCAATGTACATCCAAATTGCACATGCACATGCTCTACTTCTATTAAAGAAATTGATAGGCATATTAATCAGACAGTTGATTAATCAAAGCCATTATTCCATAATAATTTACTTCAAGAAAGTGAAGAATGGGAACTTATTTAGTAACATTTCATTGAATAAAACATAGGAATATACGGTTCGGGTGACAGATCTTCCAAGACTATCTGCTTTGCCATATGATTCGCTCACACTATTAAAGACAGAGATGTGAAATTTGAATATAACAGTAGTAATGCATTTCAATTAAAGACAGAGATGTGAAATTTGAATATAACAGTAGTAATGCATTTCAATATTGACAAAAACAATGGTGATGCATGCTGACCTGTACGTTATATCCTTGTGGAATTCCACATGCTCATCCATATTTAATTCCCTAGATTTATCTTTTAAGTTTTGCAACCTCCCGAGATCTTCCTTATTTCTACAACTACCAACAAACTGGAGCTTAGGTTTAGGCAAGTCAGAGTCAAGTCTCTGGACAGCAAGTGAAAATGCCTCAAGTTGAAGGGTGTGAGCCTGATGGAAAAGTTAGCAATGAGTTAAGACTGATAAACTCCACTCTATGATTTTTAAAGAAAAACAATTCGCTCAGTAACTACTTGCTTGTAAGCAACAAACCTTTTCTGGCCGAAATTGGGCTACAGATATAAATATAGGAACCTCGGCTGCCCTTGTCAATGGGAGCTCCTGATTGAACACATGAAAGTAATTTGTTAGTGATATCTCCATAGCAGATGATTTTATGAAAATGAAACTCATAATGTGCAAACCCAAATACATATTCACAAGCTTTATAAGACAGAAAGCTTTGTAGAAGCTGGTCTTGGTTAGTAGAACCAACTTTCAAAGAAATTACTGGAAACGCTGAGTAACTAAAAATATCCCATTAAATGCCAAACAAATATAAATTCAGAAGGTTCCTATAACAAAGGAATTCAGAAGGTAGTGGTAAATGAAATCTTAATTAAGGAGATGAAATGACATATTATGACAAAGTCAGATTCAAGTCATTCAACAAGAGTAAAATGTATGTATTTCTTGAAAAGATGTTAATTTGTATTACTCAAGATTAAAACGCTTTAGATGTAAAACTCACCAGTAGTGTTGTCAACCTGATCCAAAAATTGGCAAAATGCCAAGACATACAGGAAAAGTAAGGCTTAGATACCTGAAAGACTAGACTGAAAACAGTTTTTGAAGTATTACCAGGACATTTCAAGTTTTAGGTTCTTTAGTCTATCAGGCACTTCTTGAACGCTCACAATGATAGTTCAAAGTTTAAAGTGATAACACTGAAAATAATTTAAAAACATCATGACTCTGCTGTAACATCTGCAGATTTCGTTGGAGATATTAATGTTTTAACAAAGCGGTCTAGGCGCCAGCCTAAGCCTAAGAGGTAACTGGGCCGTTCACTTGATTGTTGAGAGTGCCTAAGAAAACATGGGCCACTTACATGGACTCATCGCGTTAAAATGGGGCTTATAGCCCCCTTAAAAAAACAATGGATGAAGAGGACAGGTTTGGTTAAAATGGATTATATCAGAACTCAATCTAAGTTCATCTCACATAAAACGGTGAGGATATGATTTTTGATCTTTGAGAAAAACCCTTCCTCTATCAGTGCTAAAAAACCTACGTGCCACTTAGGCGCCTACCTAGCCGCTACGTCCAGTGCCTAGAACCTCCTAGCGCTTTTTAAAACGTTGACTAGATTGTATCAGGTATGAGTAAGACTGTTTTGTTAAACTCTGATCTGGTAATTTTAGTTAAAAAGATTGCATACATGGGTATTTACATGGTTGTACTGACATTTAGAAAGTATAAAACATATCCACACGTCTTGTTATTATAGTTTGGAGGATTCCTGTACTAGAAGACATTTCAGGACAACTAAACATTGAAGACTATACGTCTGTCATGAAACCTGACTTGTTTTTAAATAAAGTTGGCTTGTAATACTAGGAAACTAGAATAGATTCTATAGGCAATACTGCATTTGGCTAAATGGCGTGTCCTTGTCCTTCCTTGTAAATATCCTTTCCTCCAAGCTTTCAACTAAATCACATCTCAAGTCTAAAAGAAACAAACTTCTACAGTCATATGTTGGTCTATTTGATGAATGCATATTCATACTGAAACACAACAAACCAAGGCATGATGCTCAATATAACATAGATGGAAGATGAAAGGTGGCGAAGCCTAGTCATATAAGCATGGTCTTTTAAATGTAGAAGTTGACACACATCGGATCTAATTGCTACAACAATGAGGGAGAAACAGAATACACAATTATGAATACACAATCACGCATTGTTTAGGAAAATTGCTACAACAATGAGGGAGAAACAGAATACACAATTATGAATACACAATCACGCATTGTTTAGGAAGATTTGCTATTCTAGATATTTTAGCATCATTGTTAGGCTAGGTTAGTCGAAGAAACTACAAAGATAATTCAAGATAGATACATCTAATCAAACTAAATTGTTTGATTGGTTGAGTGAAACAACAACGAAGGCATGCTTGCTTATACTTGAAAAGTGTGCCTCTTTTACTTTCACTCTCATGAAACCGAACTGTGTGATCCTATCTTAGGTGCGGTTACAGGTATGGGTACAAGACATGACAAATATGTAAAATGTAGGGTATGAGGAGACGACTATATTAAGCATATATAAAATAATATTGCACTTCATAATTTAGATGAGATCAAATGAATCCCTAGGATCTATAAAATGCATAACCATGGAATACATGAGCATGTCATTCATAATCGAGATGAAATTCATAATCACCCTATTCACGCCCACACACACACACACCAAAAAAACAACCTTTCTAGGGTTTCCTGCAGATCCTAACAATGATGACATGATTGCAACTGCAAGGTATGAAGCCAACCAAATTTCAGTAACCACAAAACTGTGTGATCCTACGTTATAGGTACGGGACATGACAAGTTTGTAAAAGGTAAGGTAGGGGGACTTAGCTATTTAAAATATGCTATTGGAATTCATATCTAGATGAGATCAAATGAATCCCTAGTACCTATAAAATTCCAAACCATGGAACACATAAGCATGTAATTCATAATTGAGACGAAATTCATAATCACAAAGTACATAAGCATTCCTATAAAAAGAATGCATCCGTAACAACTAAGCATGTTGCACCATCTAAACACAAAACAATATCTCATACATATTAAAACCCCTAACTCAGTCTCTAATTAGATGTTTACCTATAGAATCCCCAGTTCAATTCCTTGGTTAGGTTGGACATTGAAAACTAGTCAACACCTTCATGGTTGCAACCTGGTACTTTTATTTCACATCTAATGTCATAAAAATCAGTTAATCAAATAATTACAGGTTATGTAGCTTAACCTTCATTTGACTTCATACTTTTTTCATATATCACTTACTGCAGTTTGTCATAATTACTGTTTTAATAAGATATTGGTGAAGCAGGCTTGTTATCAGTAAACTAGTGTTCTTCTTTCTTACTTCTAACCAACTAAATAGCATGTGTGATGTATTACTTGTGAAGGCAGAAATTGAAATAAATTGCTAAAAGAATTGCTGATGCAAATAGTAATCACTATTCTTGTTTCATTCTCCCCTCATCCGTAATAGGAACTCCTCATATTCTAGTTATGACCAGCTTTAAAAAAGTCGCTGCGTCCCTAGAATTGTTTATAAGTCTTCAGGTGATTTATATATAGGAAGGATTTAAAATAAACATTCCAACAAAAATGCTGGAAGTCGAAGAAGGTTTGTATTATTTTTATAACCTCTTTGGCTATTTCCATTCGGGAGTGAACAGAGCACTCTTCTTTAAAATATGAGGGCTTTCCTCTCTGGTGTACTTTGTTTCAGAGCTATCAAGCCCATTAAAGAATAGCCACTCATGAACTGCTATATTTATATATAGTAGTTGATGATGAATACTTTCAGATCGTTTTGTTACCACCTCCTATGGCAATAATTGAACAACCTAGACATGCCACTGCTCCGATATTCAAAATACGGCGAATTCCAATCTAGATAAATGTATGGAAGTGGAATCCTATTGAAGGTCAAATCTTTAAGGGCTAAATCCCTCAGTTTCTCTCTCCATCAAGATTTAAAATAATTTTACACCCACAACTCCTAAAGGCTGAAACCCACTGTATCAACCTGAATAAGGAGCCATACTCAAATTTCACATGCTCGGGAGAAATCATTACAGCACAAGATTTTATAAGCGTTTTAGAAGTCAGATCCAACCTTTTACAACCCTAACTAGTCATAATGGACATTTTCCCCAAAATCTTATATTTTTAGTTTTGATAGCCCAAACTATCCATTGCACCTTGTCCTCATTCCCCTTCTAATCCTTCTGCTGTCTGCCACCTGCTGCCCACATTCTAGGTTTTTTATCTAACTGCATCTGTGAGAGTCGCTACCTTGAATATTTCAGCAGAGAGACATATACACGACAGAATCTTCGCCAATACCTTACAATATAATGTAAATAAAGCTTATATTTCTCGCAGATATACAAACTTCTGTACGCGTCAATTCTATTTTTATCGCGCTCAAAATATTTAAAAGGAATCAATTTCACAATTCACATACACTTTCTTTACTATGACATGAAACTAGAAGATTATGGACAGAGTAAACACTTTATATACAAGGAAAGTGATTTATAAATCCACCACATATATGACACAGATAGAGCTAAATGTCTTAATAGAATGGAACTAAGTGATAAAATTTATAGCTAACATTTCTATCATGAAAAGCTACTAGATTGGAATTTCAAGAAGACAAGTCAAAAATATGGAATGAAATCAAATATACCTGTAGAGATGATGTATCACATGGAGGGTAAACTCTCCTAGTACGGTCAGGAATCTTCCATAAGTTCTCAATATGGGATTTTGTCCATGAAGAATTCACCATTGCAAGATGTGCATATGACCCCACGAAACCATACAACCAACTAAAGAATGCGTAATAAATTACCTTGCATCGGGATAGCCAAATACTGTGTCAATAAAAGAATCGCAATAAGTTAGCATCTGCAAAAGTAAAAAAGCATTTTTCCCACAATGCACAAAAATTTGTCCAAGAACATACATACCCTATGAATACAAAGGTGAGTTCAAACAAAAAAGTCTTTCCATTGAACTTTGTTGAAGGATTTAAAAGCTTTTTTTGGGAGGTAATGACATATAAAAGAAAATTGGGAGGAAAAGGATAAAGTCAAGATCATTTATATCCAATTAACCATCACTTTTCATATTCATCAACTGTAAGGAGGACCCTCTGTAATGTTGTCAGGAATTTGGGAGAGGGTTGGAGTTGGTCATTGAGGGAAAGGATAGGGCTTGAAGGGACTTATCCAATCCAATGAATTGTAGACATAGTCATGGCTTCATGCTCTGACACGTACAGTGCTGGATGCAGAAATCTAACTAAATCAAGGGGTACATTATACTAAACCCAAGATCTTTCAGCACTTTGAAGTAAACTGCCAATAACTTTCAAAATCATACTAAACCCCAAATAACTTTTGCAAAAACCCACAATATCTTTGGGTAAATTACACTAAACCCCAATAACTTTCAAAATGACATTTATGTCTTTTTTTTTGGGTTCTAATTATGGGGGTTATCTGCAAAACGCAGAAACTTATAGGTGGGTTTTCTACAATTCCAAAAGTTATTGGGGGCTTTAGTGCGATTTTGAAAGCTATTGGGCTTTACTGCAAAATGCTGAAAGTTCTTCGGGTTTAACGTGATTTCCTCTAAATCAAGGCACAAGGCCATTGATAGATATGTGTACCTTCCTAGATATGTATAAATTCAATGATCACATGTTCAATAATAACTCTATTCATATATGACACAACCACAAAGAGAAAAATTATTTATGGAGGAGCAAAATGTACTTCATTGAATACAGTATATTATGAGGTGAAGAAAGGTTTATATTTATAGATTTCTGACTATGAAACATTGATGGACATGTCATGTTCAATACTAATGAACCCTCCAACTCTTGGTAAGATGGAAAGGCCATTTTAGTTCATATCATAGGAACAATTTGTTACAGTCATCCCCTCCTCCGCCTAAGCTTCCATGGAGGATTCGCAATCATGCAAATACCATTTTAATATCTAATGACTAAATCAATTTCTTCTTTTATCTTTTAACATTCTAAGGGCACCACTGACTAGTAACTACTCACATTTTGATCAATGAATGATTTATGTTTCCTGTGTTGTTAACTGTTGTCAACAAACCTCATCCATCTTCCAGTATGTAGGTTGAAGCCAAAGTATAGCCTGATATGCTACAAATGGGCCAGCTCACACCCCATAAATCATCTATAAAAATATGGAAATTAGATGAACAAAAAATTGTACTTTGGACTCTAAACTTTACGATGTTATGCTGATTAAACACTACAAAGATGAAGAGACCAAAAAAGTATTAGATACAGCGATACTAAATCTCAATCCGCAACTCGACAAGCTAGATTTTATTCCAGAACAACATATTTGTCAGTTCTTTTGTGCTCAAAACCAAAAATGTATAATTCATAAAGCGAAGGAAGCAACTGAACATCATAGAAATAAAACTGGATTAGCCTACATAGATATTCTTGTAATGTGTAATGTTTACTTGTCATAAGTAACAGTTCAGAAAAGGATGAAAACAGGAATCAATACACAGGATGCTTTTATTATGTAGAACTGTAGAAGAAAGTTACAGATACTTGAGAAACCTTGTTGTCGATACTTTTCAAGAACTTTATGCTCAATAGGAAGCACATTCCTGACAGATACTTGAGAAACCTTGTTGTCGATACTTTTCAAGAACTTTATGCTCAATAGGAAGCACATTCCTGTCAGTTCTATCAAGCGGCAGCACGTATTGAGGAGGTTATGAATGACTGTTTAATAAAGAAATATACTCTTATATAATATATAAGCTATAAATAGTAATCTATTTGATCATTAATTCGGATCATTGCAGAAGCGTACCTTTTAGCAATCAGAGCCTCATTATTATACATTGAACTACGCTGTCGAACGCGAGATACCATATCAGAGCTGATTGTAGGATAGTGTGTGTAGCAAATTACTTTGCATCCGAATATCCTGGCAAGTGGATATGTAAATGCATAGCCACTGGTGTCAAAATAAAATTGAGGTGTAAATTTTCGTAGAGCCTCCCATGAAAGGTAAACAGAACCCATACTTTGTCCAATCATAGTGAAGTGTGGATAGGCCTTCTCCTCAATCCACTTCCTTTTGGACAGCCGAACAACCTGTAAATTCATGGCATAATTGCAATAAGCCCACTCGCATAAACACAATATTGCACTTATCAAACATGCATCCTCTCTCTCTCTCCCTCCCCTCGAGAATTTAAGAGGTGCAATACCCTCTAAGAAGCAACTAATTGAGCTTAAGATATTCCTATTTAATTTACAAAGTAGACAGCATATTCTATACTATTCTAGTAAAACACAACTATCACTCGTAGCAGGAACGTGACACAAGTCAATCATTCCTGATCTGTCTCCCTTCAAAATACCTATTATTCCTGTAATTTTAGCTTCAACGCTGTTATCCATGCCTAACTCATTATCAAGACGGTTTATTTTTAATATAGTTACATAGATACTTATTTTCATATTTTTTCGGGTTTTCCAGGGGAAAATACTTGTTTTTTTTACTTTGTTCGAATGAAAAGTTGAATGTGGGCATCACTTTTCACTTTATCCGCTACATTCGTGAGAAAAGAGAATATTTCTAACCCAGAAATGGTGACTTTTCCCAAGTTAACTTTTTTTTTGGGGGGGTGGGGGGTGGGGGTACTAAGACAAAGTTTTAGTTATGAATTTTCGTTCGGAAAGAATACTTGATATGGGACTCACTTTTTCTTTGGATTTCTAAGAATCTCATGGAAACAAACATACCCTATAAACTGCATTTGATACAAATTATGAATCAGAACTGAACTAACTTAAAAAGATGTCAAACCTTTAAGCTTTTCTTTATTTCAAGGTTGATGCTCATAAGATTATGAACTAGTTTACCTTTTCACAATTGCTCTAGGGGGATAAATAGTTTGACTTTTTCGCTATTGCTGACCGTAAGGGAGATAAATTTTTGAGTTTTTTGCTTTACACCCAAGGTTTTACCCCGATTTATGTTTAAACCCAAGTTGAATTTATTTGTATCTTTACCCAATCAACTTTCTCTTTTTGTATTTAAACACAAATAGCATAATTCACACATAAAGGTATATTATATTTGTATTTTTAGGAGGTAAAAACCCCAAAATACACCCACATCTCCTCAAATCTCTGTCTCATATGAAATTAAAATCAAAATTATGAAATTAAAATTAAAATTTTTGAATTTTTTAGTATTATTAATTCTTATTAATTGTAATAGCAATCATGAGGAATCATGAATAATATGTGAAAATTTGTTATAAAGAAAAAGAAAAATTAATGCTATAATTGTACCAAAAGCTTACGTTAATTTATGCTAAAAATTAGGAGTTGGGGAATTGAAAGATTTAAACCTTAAAATACCAACAAAGAGATGAACCCTGACTAAAATTTAGTATTTAAATCTTAGGAACTAAGAGAGTTGATGCGTATTTAATGGGTTTATAAAAGTTGAATATGGAAATAAGAGAGAGGATGTCAGAGAGAATTAAATGAGAAAAAGAGAGGTAAAATTGGATTTACTGAAAACTTTTAGGGAGGCCACAAAAGTTTGAAGCAAATTTGAGAATTTTTTGGGTCTAAAGATAAATATGCATAGTTGATTGGGTCTAACGATCATACTCCTAATAAAAATACAAATTTGAGAAAAACTTTTCATTGTCTATATTACCTTTTAAGTCTTTAACCATTTTGGGTTTTATATTCCAATCTTATCCTAATTAATAATAAATTTGAAAAAAAATCCAGGGTCAATATTACCCTTAACCCTTTTGAATTTTATATTCTAACCTTATCCTAATTAATAATATATATTCAAATAATTTAAAGGTAAAATCTTTAACCAAAATTTAATATGAAAACACCAATTCTCTATCCTATTAGAATATGACACGTGTCCAACCAACCCTATCTTCCTACGAATTCTCATTAAATTAGAACTGTTCATATCCACAATTAGAGAATTCCATCCATGAAAAAGTAGAAAATTCTAATAACCATCTTTTGTTAATTCTAAACAAACTGTAATTATCTACAATTAAAAATAGTTAAAAATTGTCATGTGACCCTCCTTAAATATTTTAAAAAGTATATTTCAATAAACCTCTCATAACTTTCAATTGAGCATTAAACTCCCAAAATATCTGCAATTCTCACTAAATCCTCAGTAAAGTTGATAATTTCAGAAGACGTCCAAAACATTTTGATGTTTTGCACTTAACCTACAAAATGGTGTTACCTTAAAAAATTTCATATGCTAAAATTAACCCTCAAGGATAGTGTATACAGCTCAAATCATTCTTATTTGCAAGTTAACCCATAAACTTACAGATAACCCTACAAATATAAAAAATTACAAATAACTACCTAAAAATCTAAAATTACAAATAACACAGAGAAAATTTTAAAAGCAACAAAAAATCCTAATTAAATTTCTAAATATTACAAAAAACCCACTAACAAATCAGGATAAAGCTTTGAAGAAAACATATAGCCCCATAAAAATCTAAAACTACAAAAAAAACCTTGAAAATCTTAAAATTGAAAAAATTACTCTTAAAACTCTAAAATTATGAATGACCCACAAAAAATTCATAAATTACATAGAACCTCTTAAAAATCCAAAAAAATAAAGACAAACCCCTTTAAAATTTTAAATCACAAACAACTCCTAAAAATTCAAAAATTCAAAAATACATGAAAATTATGAAAATTACAAAAAAAAATCCCATAAGAAGTAAAATTTGACAAATAGCATCTTAAAAATTTTAAATTGCAAACAGCCCCCTAAAAATCTAAAAAATTACAAACAAGCCCTTTAATTAAGAAAACTACAAAGAAGCTCTGAAGAAATTACAAAAAACCCAAAAAGGTATAAAAAGTTATAAACAATCCCTAGAAAAATTATAAATTATAAACAAACCCCATTAAAATCAAGAAATTATAATCAACCTCTTGAAATTTCTAATAATTACAAACAAACCTCTAAAAAATCTGAAATTTATAAACATCCATTTTTTTGCCAAAAAATTTTGGGGTTAAGTGAAAAAAATGTAAAACTTACTGGGTTATTTGGGTGTATTTTGATCATTTGACTACAAGTAAACTATTGATGTTAACTTTGTGGGTTTTCAGCCAAAAGTTATTAGGAGTTTTATGAGAGTTTTAAAGATATTTGATTGATGTTAACTTTGTGGGTTTTCAGCCAAAAGTTATTAGGAGTTTTATGAGAGTTTTAAAGATATTTGAGATTTAGCTCCAACTAGTAAACTTATTGAAAAGTTATTAGGAGTTTTATGAGAGTTTTAAAGATATTTGAGATTTAGCTCCAACTAGTAAACTTATTGAGGTTTGGTAAAATTTACCCATATGTTAATTTTGAGGGTTTCATGAAATTGCAAAAAAAGACTTTGAAAAATCTAAAATATGAAAAAAAGACTCTTAGCATTCTAAAATTATAAATGGCCCACATAAATTTGATAAATTACAAATAACTTATTCAAAATCTAAAAAGTATAAACAACTCCCTTAAAATATAAAAAACCAAACAACCCCCTAAAAATTCAAAATTTTAAACACATGAAAAATATAAAAAATACAAAAAATATAATAAAATTAAAATAAAACAAATCGTATTCTGAACAATTTTAAATTGCAGATAGCCCCCTAAAAATCTTAAAAATTATAAACATACCCTTTAATTTAGAAAATTACAAAGAAACCTTAAGAAAATTACAAGAAAAAACCCAGAAAAATAAAAAGTACAAAAAAAAAGCTCGAAAAATCTAAAATTAGAAACAAAACCCCTTAAAATCTAAAATTACAATCAACCTCTTGAAAATTTCAATACTAACAAACACCCGAAAAAAATCTCAAAGTTATAAACATCTCATGTTTGCAGGTTTTTTGCCAAAAAAATATTGGGGATTAAGTGAGAAAACATAAAACTTATTGAGTTATTAGGGTAACAATGTCAGCTTTCAGGGGCATAAACTGAAAAGCGTTCATAGAGATTTCTTAAATTTTCAAACTTGTGGTGGATTATCTATAATAAGCCCAAACATGTAGGATTTTTTCAAAGTAAAATAGTTGATCGAGGTTTTCTCAGACACACCCTATATTTTGGGGCGTTAAGTGAGGAAATTTCGAAGGGTTATCTCAAATTTTTATAGTAAAGAAGGATTATCTACAATATGCTTAAACTTGAAGGGGTTTTCTCATATTGAAATAGTAGAGGGGGGTTTTCTAAAATTAATCCATAATTTTTGAGATATGATATCAAAAAATCCCCTTAAGTGGTGATTATCAAAAAACCCTTTTAACTTTTAGATTTTATCAGAAAACGCCCTCAACTTTGAGATTTTATCAAAAAATCCCCCTAGTATATTACTTTAGCGAGGTTTCTTGATAAAATCTCAAAGTTAAAGGGGTATTCTGATTGCCCCTAAACTTAAATGGATTTTCTAATATTTTCAAAGTTATGCAGGGTTATCTCATTATTATCCAAAGTTGAAGGGAGTTTTTCTGATATTTAACTTTTAAAATATTATACTTTGTTCGCATTGTTATCTGCATTAACATGAGATATATCGTTTGTTTAATAATTTACTATATCAATAGGAAAGGTGTAACATTTTACTATAAGCAACCAACTCAGAGGAAAAGGATTTTTATTTTTTATTTTTTAATGAATGGAAATGAGTAGTTTAAAAAGTGAAAACATTGATTTTTAGGCTTTTCAAATGTTCAATAAGTATGTTAATTAAAAAGCATATTGTGTGTAAAATTACTCAAATAAGGACTCTTAATTTACAACTATATTCTAATTTAATGCATTCCGTTTTAAACACTCTGTCTTTCCAATTTATCCTTGTAGACACGTGCAAAGAGGTATAAACTAGTTTTAGTCACACATTTAAGTTTTTCTAATGTTTTGATTATGAGATGTTCAATATGTATCATTTCAAAATATTTAAGAGACTTCACCAATTTCAAAAAATTTAAGAGTCTTCACCAATTGCGAGTCTTTAACATGTTCAATAGGATGTTAATTAAAATAATTATGTGAGTAAAATTACTCAAAGGTATTGTTTAAGTTTTTATGATATTATAATTATGAGATGTTGAATATATTATTTAAGTTTTTATGGTATTGTTTGAGTAAAATTACTCAAAGGTATTGTTTAAGTTTTTATGATATTTTAATTATGAGATGTTGAATATATAACATTTCAAAAATCTAGAGCCTTGACCACTTACAATTATTTTGACAGACTTGAATTAGAGTAACCACATCCCATCATAATAACACTAACCACTAGGTACTAAGAAATATAGATGAGTCTTAATAGAAGGTCTAACTAAGACAGTTAAGCTAAAAAAATTCTGAATTGTAAGAGTAATCGAATGGGATGGAGAAGTACACTTAAATAAAGAGGAATATGATCCTCATTAATTAGAATAATAATAATAATTTAAAGACATGAGAATATCTCCAATTATGTGAAATAGTCAAAGTTAGGTATATAACATTTTTATGCCTCAAAAAACAAAAAGTCACTCTACTAAGAAAAGGATACATACTAGCAAGAAATATATCAATCAGTGATTTCATAGCTTTCTAACTTTGACAATTCAGAACATAAATAGATAAAATATAAATGTATTAACTTGGGAAATTTCTCATATTTAAGATCCATGGTTATTGGTATGTGATCTTTCCTTAAGAGTCTATTAGCCTCATGAGACATCACATTAAAGAAAAATTATTAGATTATTAAATGTAGGGTATAAAAATTAGAATATTATACTGTAAATTTGTGCAAATGATAAGATGACAACATGGGATTGCAGTAAGAATAAAATTATTTGCATAAAAGATATATTTTTTTCATAAAAGGATTTTGACCTTCATGCTTATGCGAATTGATCATGTAATTTTGACTTTGGTCATGGTAATTTTAACACTTTTGATAATTATATAGATGTATAGACAATAAATTATTTTACTTCTTCCCATGGAAATAAAAGAAATATTTCACAACCGAGTTATATAATAAAATAGACCCCAAAAATGATATTTAACTACCAATGCACGTGCATCCAATCTAGTACAAAGAAAAGTAATTGAGTTTAAACATAAATCATGGTAAGCCTTTGGGTCTAAAGACAAAAACCTCTAAATTTTGTTACTGGGGCAGTAAAAAAAACTGAGTAGAGATCATTCCGCTTGATGATAAATAAGAGCAATTTAGAAAACAGAACGAAAAGTATCTGAAATTTTGTTGATTAAGTGTAAACTACACTAAACCCCATGAGTTTTCAGTGTTTCGTAGCAAACCACCATCGGATTACCATCGGAGGGCGAAGAAGCTGGACGCCGAATCGATCGAGCGCTCGAGAAGACAAGCTCTCTGGCGTGGCATCGTCTCCGGTGAAAACCGAGACCTCGAGATCGGGATCCTCCTCTTGAACTGCCCTAACCGCGCACCAAAGGACCCTCTCCCCTCCGCCGCCGTCGTTGGTGTACGGATGGAAGAATCCGACGGATCTCCTCCTCCTCCGCCTCCTTGATATGATCACCGACGTCGAGAGAGAGGCAAAGATTAGGGCAAGGGACGTGGATATTGTAGCGAGGAGGAAGAAGATCGGCATCGTGAGGATGAGGCGGTTTTTGGAAAAAGATGATCGTTGAGGGTGAAAAGCTTCGTGGACCGGCTTCATACGAAGTGGGCTTGGCCCTGGCCTTAAAGAGGGCTTCTCTCCACATCATACGGCCCATGGATAGCCATTAGAGTGGTTGAACACACCCCCCAGCTGAAATTTTGTTGATTAAGGGTAAACTACACTAAACCTCATGAATTTTCAGTGTTTCGTAGCAAACCCCCATGGACTTTCAAAATCACACTAAACCACCATGAACTTTTTCGAGTTGGAAAAAAACCATGTGAACTTTCTGAGTTTTGGAGATAACCCCAATAAATTAGAACCAAAAAACGAGTTAAAATGCATCTTGAAAGTTAATGGAGGTTTAGTGTAATTTACCAAAAATTTCATGGGAGTTTTCAGCAAAAGTTATTGGGGGGTTTAGTGTGATTTTGGAAGTTCACAGGGGTTTACGACTAAACACTGAAAGTTCCTGGGGTTTATTATAATTTATCCTAAAAATAAATATGTCAAAAGTATGCCTTTTTTACAATATATAGGTAAAGAATATTCAAATGAAAATTGGATTAGGAATTATATGAAAATTACAAACTACTTCATAGACTTCTACCTAAAATTCTAGCTTTCCTGTAAAACTGAACAAACTAGAACTTGTGAGATATGAATCTGCCAAAAAAAAGACATTTAAAAAAAACACGAAGATCGAATTACCATCGGAGGGTGAAGAAGCTGGACGCCAAATCAATCGAGGGCTCGAGAGGACAAGCTCTCTGGCGTGGCATCGTCTCCGGTGAAAACCGTGACCTCGAGATCGGGATCCTCCTCTTGAACTGCCCTAACCGCGCACCAAAGGACCCTCTCCCCTCCGCCGCCGTCGTTGGTGTACGGATGGAAGAATCCGACGGATCTCCTCCTCCTCCGCCTCCTTGATATGATCAACGACGTCCAGAGAGAGGCAAAGATTAGGGCAAGGGACGTGGATATTGTTGCGAGGAGGAAGAAGATCGGCATCGTGAGGGGTGAGGCGGTTTTGGGAAAGAGAAGATCGTTGAGGGTGAAACTTTTTGTGGACCGGCTTCATATGAAGTGGGCTTGGACCTGGCCTTAAAGAGGGATTCTCTCAACATCATACGGCCCATGAATAGCCATTAGAGTGGTTGAACACACCCCCAGCTGAAAATTTGTTGATTAAGGGTAAACTACACTAAACCCCATGAATTTTCAGTGTTTCGTAGCAAACCCCCATGGACTTTCAAAATCACACTAAACCACCATGAACTTTTTGGAGTTGCAAAAAAACCCTGTGAACTTTCTGAGTTTTGGAGATAACCCCCACAAATTAGAACCAAAAAACGAGTTAAAAGGCATCTTGAACGTTAATGGAGGTTTAGTGTAATTTACCAAAAAGTTCATGGGAGTTTTCAGCAAAAGTTATTGGGGGGTTTAGTGTGATTTTGGAAGTTCACACGGGTTTACGACTAAACATTGAAAGTTCCTGGGGTTTATTGTAATTTATCCTGAAAATAAATATGTCAAAAGTATGCCTTTTTTACAATATATAGGTAAAGAATATTCAAATGAAAATTGGATTAGGAATTATATGAAAATTACAAACTACTTCATAGACTTCTACCTAAAATTCTAGCTTTCCTGTAAAACTGAACAAACTAGAACTTGTGAGATCTGAATCTGCCAAAAAAAGACATTTAAAAAAACGCAAAGATCGAATTACCATCGGAGGGCGAAGAAGCTGGACGCCGAATCGATCGAGGGCTCGAGAAGACAAGCTCTCTGGCGTGGCATCGTCTCCGGTGAAAACCGAGACCTCGAGATTGGGATCCTCCTCTTGAACTGCCCTAACCGCGCACCAAAGGACCCTCTCCCCTCCGCCGTCGTCGTTGGTGTACAGATGGAAGAATCCGACAGATCTCCTCCTCCTCTACCTCCTTGATATGATCACCGACGTCGAGAGAGAGGCAAAGATTATGGCAAGGAACGTGGATATTATTGCGAGGAGGAAGAAGATCGGCATCGTGAGGGGTGAGGCGGTTTTGGGAAAGAGAAGATCGTTGAGGGTGAAACGTTTTGTGGACCGGCTTCATATGAAGTGGGTTTGGCCCTAGCCGTTGGTGTACGGATGGAAGAATCCGACGGATCTCCTCCTCCCCCGCCTCCTTGATATGATCACCGACGTCGAGAGAGAGGCAAAGATTAGGGCAAGGGACGTGGATATTGTAGCGAGGAGGAAGAAGATCGGCATCGTGAGGATGCGGCGGTTTTTGGAAAAAGATGATCGTTGAGGGTGAAAAGCTTCGTGGACCGGCTTCATACGAAGTGGGCTTGGCCCTGGCCTTAAAGAGGGATTCTTTCCACATCATGCGGCCCATGAATAGCCATTAGAGTGGTTGAACCCCCCCTCCCCCCCGCTTTTCAGTGTTTCGTAGCAAACCACCATGGACTTTCAAAATCACACTAAACCACCATGAACTTTTTGGAGTTGCAAAAAAACCCTGTGAACTTTCTGAGTTTTGGAGATAACCCCCATAAATTAGAACCAAAAAACGAGTTAAAAGGCATCTTGAAAGTTAATGGAGGTTTAGTGTAATTTACCAAAAAGTTCATGGGAGTTTTCGCAAAAGTTATTGGGGGGTTTAGTGTGATTTTGGAAGTTCACAGGGGTTTACGACTAAACACTGAAAGTTCCTGGGGTTTATTGTAATTTACCCTGAAAATTAATATGTCAAAATTATGCCTTTTTTACAATATATAGGTAAAGAATATTCAAATGAAAATTGGATTAGGAATTATATAAAAATTACAAACTACTTCATAGACTTCTACCTAAAATTCTAGCTTTCCTGTAAAACTGAACAAACTAGAACTTGTGAGATCTGAATCTGCCAAAAAAAAGACATTTAAAAAAAAACGCGAAGATCGAATTACCATCGGAGGGTGAAGAAGCTGGACGCCGAATCGATCGAGGGCTCGAGAAGACAAGCTCTCTGGCGTGGCATCGTCTCCGGTGAAAACCGAGTCCTCGAGATCCGGATCCTCCTCTTGAACTGCACTAACCGCGCACCAAAGGACCCTCTCCCCTCCGCCGCCGTCGTTGGTGTACGGATGGAAGAATCCGACGGATCTCCTCCTCCTCCGCCTCCTTGATATGATCACCGACGTCGAGAGAGAGGCAAAGATTAGGGCAAGGGACGTGGATATTGTCGCGAGGAGGAAGAAGATCGGCATCGTGAGGGGTGAGGCGGTTTTGGGAAAGAGAAGATCGTTGAGGGTGAAACGTTTTGTGGACCGGCTTCATATGAAGTGGGCTTGGCCCTGGCCTTAAAGAGGGATTCTCTCCAAATCATGTGGCCCATGAATAGCTATTAGAGTGGTTGAACACCCCCCCCCACGCCCCCACCCGCTGAAATTTTGTTGATTAAGGGTAAACTACACTAAACCCCATGAATTTTCAACGTTTCGTAGCAAACCCCCATGGACTTTCAAAATCACACTAAACCACCATGAACTTTTTGGAGTTGGAAAAAAACCCTGTGAACTTTCTAAGTTTTGGAGATAACCCCCATAAATTAGGACCAAAAAACGAGTTAAAAGGCATCTTGAAAGTTAATGGAGGTTTAGTGTAATTTACCAAAAAGTTCATGGGAGTTTTCAACAAAAGTTATTGGGGGGTTTAGTGTGATTTTGGAAGTTCACAGGGGTTTACGACTAAACACTGAAAGTTCCTGGGGTTTATTGTAATTTACCCTGAAAATAAATATGTCAAAAGTATGCCTTTTTTACAATATATAGGTAAAGAATATTCAAATGAAAATTGGATTAGGAATTATATGAAAATTACAAACTACTTCATAGACTTCTACCTAAAATTCTAGCTTTCCTTTAAAACTGAACAAACTAGAACTTGTGAGATCTGAATCTGCCAAAAAAAAGACATTTAAAAAAAACGCGAAGATCGAATTACCATCGGAGGGCGAAGAAGCTGGACGCCGAATCGATCGAGGGCTCGAGAAGACAAGCTCTCTGGCGTGGCATCGTCTCCGGTGAAAACCGAGACCTCGAGATCGGGATCCTCCTCTTGAACTGCCCTAACCGCGCACCAAAGGACCCTCTCCCCTCCGCCGCCGTCGTTGGTGTACGGATGGAAGAATCCGACGGATCTCCTCCTCCTCCGCCTCCTTGATATGATCACCGACGTCGAGAGAGAGGCAAAGATTAGGGCAAGGGACGTGGATATTGTCGCGAGGAGGAAGAAGATCGGCATCGTGAGGGGTGAGGCGGTTTTGGGAAAGAGAAGATCGTTGAGGGTGAAACGTTTTGTGGACCGGCTTCATATGAAGTGGGCTTGGCCCTGGCCTTAAAGAGGGATTCTCTCCACATCATGCGGCCCATGAATAGCCATTAGAGTGGTTGAACCCCCCCACCCCCCGCTGAAATTATGTTGATTAAGGGTAAACTACACTAAACCCCATGAATTTTCAGTGTTTCGTAGCAAACCCCCATGGACTTTCAAAATCACACTAAACCACCATGAACTTTTTCGAGTTGCAAAAAAACCCTGTGAACTTTCTGAGTTTTGGAGATAACCCCCATAAATTAGAACCAAAAAACGAGTTAAAAGGCATCTTGAAAGTTAATGGAGGTTTAGTGTAATTTACCAAAAAGTTCATGGGAGTTTTCAGCAAAAGTTATTGGGGGGTTTAGTGTGATTTTGGAAGTTCAAAAGGGTTTACGACTAAACACTAAAGTTCCTAGGGTTTATTGTAATTTACCCTGAAAATAAATATGTCAAAAGTATGCCTTTTTTACAATATATAGGTAAAGAATATTCAAATGAAAATTGGATTAGGAATTATATGAAAATTACAAACTACTTCATAGACTTCTACCTAAAATTCTAGCTTTCCTGTAAAACTGAACAAACTAGAACTTGTGAGATCTGAATCTGCCAAAAAAAAGACATTTAAAAAAAACGCGAAGATCGAATTACCATCGGAGGGCGAAGAAGCTGGACGCCGAATCGATCGAGGGCTCGA